TACTCTCCGCATCCGGCGCTGGAAGAGACCATCCAGTCATAGTCAGCATCGACACTTCAACGTGGTTCCCAACCAACGTTCCGTCACGGAGAGTGGTCACAGTGTGGCAGCAGGCAAGACCATATTGCATTCTCAGAGGGACTTGCTCGGATATCACAGATCTGTTCCTTTCGTCGAGAGGAGGCAGGTCCGGCTCGAACTGAATCTTGCCCAAGAAAGTTCTTCTCGAGGGATCAACGGCAACCACCGCCGCGAAGTCCATACCGTCCTTCGTGATCGTACCAGTCTTGTCGAACACCATCGTTGAGATCTTGCCGGCAACGGGAATCCTACCCGGTTGGAGACATGATATCTGATGATGCTTCTCCAGCCTGAAGGCCGCCACTGACTGGCCCATCACGATAGAGACGGGCAGCATGGGGTTCATCGTCTGAGCAACGGTACTCAGAATTTGCAGCACAGTGACCACCCAGGAACCCAGATTTGTCGTGGTCAGGTACAGAACGATGATGAGTACAGCATACAGAGCTAGCATGCCGTACACAATTGGGAGCTGATCAGTGTATTTGAACCTAGGAAAAAGAACACCGATACGGACTGGTCATAGCAGTACGATTACTATGGAAGAACTACCATTTCCATGCCAATTCACACCCACAAAACGAGCACTCGACAACATAGATGGTTCCGTGTTGATCAACGTACACGAATGCAAGGGCTGAAACCAGCTGGCCAAGTCCCACTATCTATAGTTCTAGGCACGAGCGCACTTAGGAACAGCCAAAGGGACTACCTGACAGACTGTGGGAAGAGTACCATTCGGATGAGTTGTCCCTTGGTCGTGAGAGCTCCGACACTGGTTGCCATCAGAATGGCACGACCATCGTGTGGGCCCGTCGACTGCATACACATAGTGCCTACATGAAATTCAAGAATCGCATGGGCAGAGCCTCTTACCTGCATAGGCCGTATTCTTTTTGGTGATCTCGGCATCTTCAATATCATCCACGGAGAACTTCTGTATGGGCATGGGCTCACCAGTGAGCATGGACTCGTTGACGATTACAGATCCCTCCACGACAACCCCGTCGCAAGGGAGAGGTTCACGTTCCTCTACTTTCAGCAGGTCGCCGAGAACCACACCATGGGAACCGATTTCAACCCACTTCCCTGATCTCAGAACTTGCACCCGGGTTTCGAGCTTGGCCAAGGTAGCGATCTTCTTCTGGCCTCTCCTCACGATAAACAGGGCTCGATAGGTCCCCGCAATGAGCGTCATGGCGAGCCATATTATACCGATGTTCCATGTCGTGAAGACGATATACGTCCAAGCCGCAATAGACTGCAGTATATAGAGAACATCGCTGAACTCGGAAGCCAGACTCTCAATGATCCCAGGGACTCTCACCCTGATCTCGTTCGGACCCGTTTCCTCCAGCTCGAGCGTGGCCTCCTCGTGACTCATACCACCATCCCTCAACCGCTGGTGCATTTCAGAAGCTGTCCACTCTCCCATGCCGACAGGACGGAATCGACCGACGTCAGTATCAAATACATATCTAACGCACATGTACTCGTAGCATCTAACCCTGAGCATTTCGTCGTATTCAACTTCGACCATCGTCTTGCGAGTTGCGCTTCTGAACCTTGTACGTAGTCTGTCCCACAGGACTGACACGTAGCGATTGAAAGCGGGTATGTCCTCGTCGGAAGCCATCCCCGGATCGATCATCTCCTTCGAGTCCACCGCGGGAGGTACAGCTTCCTCGATCACCACATTTGTAGCATCGCTGAGCTGTGGCTCGGGTACCATAAACAGCGTAACGAGTGAGTGATAGAATTTAGATAGCACACCAGCCAGCACGTGAAAGACGACCATAGA